GCTGGAACAGTCTGGAACATCCTTTTTGAAAATGGTAGAAAAGGAACCCATATTGAAGTATTCTATGGAATTCCTGAAGAGTCTCAAGCAATCAGCTCCTCCACCAAGCCCTCGGCTAAGAAAGATCTTATATAATGAAGGACTTGCATGGGCACCAACTAGGAAAAGAGGATGCAGAGGGGGTAAGAAAATGTTGCATAAAATTAAGACAATTGTTGGCAGAAGACTCGGTCACAAAACATAATGCTTGTTTGGACTGAGAAACAGGGATAAATTTGAATCCAGTTTGATTAAAGTCAAAGTAGAGCACAAAAGGCCAACTAATTATGCTATGTTACCAACTCTTTTGATGACGAACCCTAGATCTCTTGTAAACAAGAATTAATGAGTTTCAAGCCATTTTGATGGAAAATCATGTGGATGTAGCTGCAATTTCAGAGACTTGGTTTACCCCCCACATGCCTGAGGATTTCTTGGGTATTGATGGATACACTTTATTTTCTAAATGTCGAACCCCACGTCATCAAAGAAAGTGTCCCATCTTATCCTTTAACCTGTATTAGTGTTCCCGATCATCTTGAATGTATGTGGGTGAAGGTGAGACCGTCGAGACTTCCATGGCATATATCTGCTATTGCTGTGTGTGTAGTGTATTCACCGCCACAATCATTATATCAGGACAAACTCATCGAGCACTTAATAGCTTCATCTGATCTGCTTCGTACTAAGTATCCAGATATTGGCCTCATCATACTTGGAGATTTTAATCATCTCAGAGTCCAGGATATCTGCTTGGATAATAAACTTTGCCAGGTTGTCCAGAATAACACTAGAGGTGATGCGATTCTTGACATGATCATCACTAATATGAAATCAGTGTACAAGAAACCTGAAATAGACCCTATGCAGTTTGGTAGTCGACAGAATCATTCCACAACACACAATCTGGTTAGCCTGATGGATTTTGTGTATAAGGCCTGCGAAGAACCAGGTTCAGTGTGCACATTAGTCACAACTGATTTTGCCAAGGCTTTTGATGCTGTAGACCATACAGTAGCAGTGAAGTGCCTCCTGGATCTTGGAGTGAGACCTAGCCTCATTCCATGGATTTGTAATTTTATGTCTAATCGTTATTAGCCAATTCCCAATTCCCTATATGTTTTAGACTTTTAAACGATTACAGACTTTAAAATAACTTTTTTATGATGCATTTCATTAATTTCTTTCTTTTTTTTTTATTTTTGTATTTTATATGAAGTAAATTGGTATTGACATTTTATTGTAACAGCAAAATAATTCAGTGTCCCCTAATGACAAACGTCCTTGGGTACCTGTAATGATGCTAAAAAGTCAATAAATCAATAAAATGCAATAATGTAAAATAACGGAGGGTAATATGATCAAGCTCATATTTTTAAATGTATATAAATATATACACACACAGTGGAGATCAAAATTAGAGAACAATCTATAAATACTTAATCTTGTTAATCTTCACTGTTCAAAATTTGAAGGAATATTAGCTGTAGGTATACCACTGTTCTACTAACATGTTTGACAAAATATCCAAGGCATTTCAACAAAAACCTTTATTTTGTTGAAAACACATTGATCAAAATTAGAGAACAGTAACCACTGTAGCAAGAAAGAAGATTACAACTAAAATTTTGGAGGGTCACAGCTGTCAGAAATTAGTAGGAAGTGTAGAGGCCCTGGCTTTGAATGACTTCAGCACATCTGCGGCCGCAGGACATCATTCGTTTCTCAGACTGCGCTGGTGTGATTTTGGTCCACTCTTCTTCCACTTTCTTCCATAGTTCGGTAACTGTAGTGAGTTTCTTAGCCATAACTTCGTCACCAAGGATTTTCAAGAGATTTTCAATCAGGTTTAGATCAGGACTCTGGCCCAACCATTTCATTATTTCAATGTTCTTAGATTCAAGGTACTGCTTTACCAATTTTGTAGTGTGAAAGACGGCATTGTCTTGCATGCTTGCAGGGAAGGAACTGCATGTTGCCGAAGGAGGTTCTGATTTTGCATTCACCCTGCCTTATAGCTCTATAAGAGGCCCAACTCCTGCTGCACAAAACATCCCCCAAAGCATGACACTTCCTCCTCCACCTTTCATTCACTGACTTCTTTACGCACTTGGGCTTCAGTCTTTCCCCAATTTGACGCTGAACAAAATGTTTCCCACCAGACCCAAATAAATTAAACTTGCTCTCATCACTAAAGTGATTAAACGTCTCTTAAACGTGACAGACCCTTACCCTGTTCAGAGCTGAACTGGCAAGCAATTCCAGCTGCAGTGTTGAACCGATTCCTCATTGAGAGTCTC